AGAGTCTCTTAGTAAGGTTTTGTTGTACGTGATGGGTTTGCTAACTCCAAACCCAACACTCCCTCTTTATCTGGGCTTGGGACCGGCAGTAATACAGAAGGTCTACTTGCGTGGAGCCCAGGACAGAGACGGTTGGAGAATCCTGGTCAGTACCCTATGCTTCACTAGGAATAAAAGGCGTAATGAAGTATATAAGTAGTAGTATCGGCTTTTTTTCAAGTTCTTATAAATTCCTGTGTTAGTTCTTACATTATTCAATGTTATCTGTTACTGATATTATTGTAATCAACAATGAACATAATGCCAACATTCCATTTGTTGATAAGCATGGATTACAGTAAGCTTCTCTAAATTTTTACGGGAAATAACTCAGTCAACTGTAAGAGATAATAAATCTTGATTCGATTAATATGATCATTTATGGTGGAGTTTCATTCTAAGAATTGTATAGCTTGATCGTGAAGCTTTCATTGTTCCTCTGATAGTTTATTACAACCTCAAACGTTTCGTAACAATTGTAAATGCATAAATGACTGTAACAGTATTTGAAAATGGAAGTTAACAAGATGTTTGTTTTGTTTAGATTTGTCTAATAAGTTGTCACTTAAATAAAATACCGTCGGATTAGTAATAATCAATACTTAACTGGAATCTTCCCTTTAAAATGAATACTATTCATCATGATTATGTTATATCCCGATGAGAATAATGAATGGTAACCGTTGGAATCTGTTTCTGGATTAATATTATACATACATATATTTACCGATTAATTTTTAATTAGTTCGTGTCCGTCTTATCATAAACTTTACTTTGACCTAGGAACTATTATTATACGATTTACTATTCTTGAGTTATGCCCAGTCTATCAATCACTATCTCCCACATTCACAGCCACATTTGACTAAATCTTGTAAAAATGTTATTCCCTATTTTATGGTACGATGTGGTCTATTCGGTTTGCATATAAACCCAGTATGTTTGAAACACATGATTCACATCGCAGAGGCTGAGATTGGTGTTCTGGACTCAACAGACAGGGCTAGGCAGGAAGCAGGACTGGTAAAGACTTTATACTGCTTGTACGGGTTTTATGCGTCATTGGTCCGGTCGATAAATCACTGTTCTCCAATTGAGGGTATCATTACGTTATACATTGATAGGGCTACAAACCCACAAGTTATAACAGATTAAAAGGAATTTATACGATGATCTCAATCTATATTATCACTTCTAAACAAAATTTATCAAAATGTAAATGAAACGTACACAACAGACTTATGATAAACTTAACCAACAATCATTATTTTAGATATCTCTTAACGATATAAATTTAAAATTTGAGAAAAGGACTTATTTCATATTTTCTCTTTAATTATTAAATGATGAAATTATTAGTTAGTTAAATTAGAAAGTTTTCTATAACCTTTCAATTCTATAAGTAGTATATGTAACAATAGAAAATAATTTGGAAACTTCTTAATATTTCGTTTAGAAAACACTTTTATCGTTCTATTTAATGCTGATAATTTTAATTCTAATAAATATAATGACCGTGATAAGAAGTAATCATAAATGAGATTATGACCATTTTCGTTATCTATTCATTTAGTATAAAGTCTATGTAAGGTACATTGTTTTAGTTTTAAATTATAATAATTGCAAAACAAATGTATGCATGAAAAAAACTAGTGATTGACATTCCTTCCTGGAATTACAATCCAGTTTTTGCCTTCTGATATTCTTTAACACAATTAGATGTAAAGTTATAAATCATGAGGTGAAATGTTGTAGTCATATATCGATTGGTTATTTGTAAATTATCAATTTGACTTTGTTTGATAGTCTTCGGATTTTACTCTATCATATCAGATACATTAACGTTATTCTATATGTTGTGTTAAAATAATTAAATATTTCAGTTTTTCTCTTTTCTAGAAAAACCTGGTTTCCTACTGTATCATTATTTTTAATAAAAAACATTAAATGGTTGTTCTAGGTAGTCGACAGGAAACCCTGGGACTGGGTTTCGTGCTACTTGGCACTCGTCAACAAGGTGTATCTGTAATCTTGAGGGAACTGGTGCTCCCTGGCAGATTCGATTCCGTGTCACCCAGACTGGTGGCCACATTGCAACATGGTCGATAGCATTCGATCTGCACCAATAAGGACTAGGCACGCATGACATTGATCACCATCCAGTGATCAATCAATTGTGAAAAAAAACATTGAATATTTGAATGGATCATATATAGTAGAATTACCAATTGATTAATCAATGTTATAAAAGGCTAGAGCTATTCTTTCAATGTATGAAAAAAAAATAGATCAGGAATAATAGTAAATTTATTTTGGGTACAAGCATTCATTGATTTTAACCAATTTTTTTTCAAACTGTTCCTATGTTGAATGTTGTTAATGACAACATTTACCACAAATAAATAACAATATTAATTACATGAAGATACTTTTACGTTTATACACACATGAATACGAAATAAACTATATTAAATCATGAACAATTCAATTTATATTGAAATAACAAATCACTTTTTACAACTAAAGAATTCTATATATTTAAACATTAAATTATTATACAAGTAAATGTAAAAAATAACCTTTCAATAAAACAATCTTTTTATTCGATTCTAACAGTATTATCATAATCATAAATGACAAAGATTAATCAATGAAATCAAGATACACAAAATAACCATTATTGTTACCTATGTAAAAATTACATTTTCAGTTTAAAAAAAAAACTAACTTAACAACATTTTTTTAGTACACAGAAATATACATTCCAAATAGATATAAAGTAATTTTTCTTATTCCATACATTTTACACAACTAACAGTTGCTACTGTGATATCATGTATAGCAAAGTATACTGACATTAAACTATTTGTATATAATACATTTGAAATGAAGAAAAAAAAGTCAATAACGATATACATTTATCCAATGATTGATTTATCTTTTTAAAAATATTGTATATTCATTTGGTTCAATAATTTAAATCAATACGTAAGGAACAACTAATATAATAATAATAATAATATTGTGATGCGTGCTACTTATATTGACATAAGTAGTATATGACACGAGTTGAAAACGTAATGTCTGGCAGCAGAAGATGGGGGAAGATCAAGAAAGGAAGAGCGGGAACACAATACAATTTGTAAGAAAACGCATGAACAATGAAATGTGAGACAATGAATTGATGTTTACAACAGAAACAGTCCAAGTTGATATGATGGACTAATATTTTGTAGATTAACGATTTACCATATGGTTTTTCAATTTTGCCAACTAACTCTGTAATTTTGTACTTAAAATAATTAGGTCGTTCTCACCTGTGTTCACCCTCACTACAATATTACCTTAATTATCTTCATATAATTGGTTATTAATGCTTTATTTATAATACTTACCAACAATGAATGTGTCAACTAGTACTATTATGATGTATGTTACTTATGTCTTTGGATTTAAACAATATATAACATCAATCACAAATGAAATGCTTGTCAACAAATAGTTAAGAAGATCAGGTTGAAGGAAAAATCAAAATGGTAGTAGAAATTAATTATGAATTGAAAAAATAAAATCATATCGAATGTTAAGAACAATTGAAAGATAATTTACAAATAAAGTATTTAATGTATAAATTTACATATTTTATAAAGAAATTCTATCAGTTCATATTTTTTTAAAGAAAAAAAATATTAGATGGGTTTTGTGTATATTATAGTAATTTCAATGGTTAAGATCATAAGTCAGTTGAAGCTAGACCATCATGGAAAACCTGGAAGCACTGGACAGCCGTTTCGTCCCATTGCAAGACTTTTCAGCAGTGCACATCCACGTCTTTGCCTCCTGTGAGATTTGAACCTACAACCTACTGGTTTCGCGTGCGAGCACTCAACCACTAGACCATTGAGCTGGCCGGCATCTAACGGTGTTAATTTCTAACTTCAACTAATCCATGAAATTGAGCGATACATCCACCATTGTCTTCAGTGAGTTACTATCTCCCAACAAACACAGTTGAATTCCACTGGTCACTACTTCGCACTAGAACTCCAGGATATACTTCGTGAAGCCAATCACTCATGAGCATATGTTGATCAATATCAAATACTTCCAAGTTTTCCATGATGGTCTAACTTCAACTGACTCATGATCTTAACCTATAAAAAGAAAAATACAATAATTATCTTCCTTTATAATTTTTATATATTACAATATAAATTGAAAAAAATTATAAGTAATTTAAAATTAATTATGATGTATGAAAACATGTATGAAAACAATGAATTAAATATTTTAATTGTAAACGAAATTTTAAATTAAAAAAGAAATAAATTAATGGATTTGCAGCAGAATTAATAAAATATAAATAATGAAAAAATCGTCTTAAATGATATTTCATTTTAATTTTTAATATTTCATTTGAATTATTGATTAATAAATTATTATTTGTTATATTATATAATTGATTATTGATATTTATTTCAGTAGTTATTGAATTATTATATAATAAATGTAATTGATTTGTTGTTTCCATTAATAATTCCCAATGAATAGGCCAAATTAATTGATTAGCAATTAATAAATTTGGTAAATATGATATAATAAAACTAACTGTAATTAAAATAAATGTAATTGCACTTTTTATATGTCGATTATTTGTTAATTTTATAGGATGATGATGATGATGATGATGATGGTGATTAGATTTTTTATATAAATTAAATAAATTTCGTTTTATTGATTTATATTTTAATTGATTATTATTATTATTATTACTATTTTGAATTGAAAGAATTTGTTTAGATTGATTGATTTTATTTTGTTTTTTTATTGATTTGAATTGATTAAAATGTATAGATTGTGAATTAATTTGTATTATTGAATCACTATAACTATGACTAAATTGATTTTGATGTTGTTTATTATTTAAATTTATTTGATTTAATTGTATACTTAAAAATCTTGTTCTATTATTATAATTAAAACAATTCAAATATGATTGTTTAACTGGTTTTTTATTAATTATAACATTATGTTTTGGAGAAGTTAAAGGAGTATTAATTGGTTTAATAACTTTTATTTTAGGTCCAAATTTTGTTCTCCATCGATATTGATGTATTATAATGAATAAAAATAAATAACCATAAAAGATACAAATACAAGTGAAAATAAGACTGAATAAAATTAATATAGATAATTGGTAAATTTCATAATCACTTTGTGATATGAAACGTTCATCAGATTTACAATAACCATAATTTGTAAATGATGATATTAGGTCGATAAATTGTGATGTAACATAAGTCAATGATGATTTTTCTGATAACATTGATGAGCTGTTAGAAATACTATCATTCAATTTTGATTGGTTAGTTTTAAATAAATTATTTGATTCATGAAACATGAAATTACCTTCTGAATCACTGGATACAAGTTTATCAACTGTACTAATTTTAAAATAAGTGTGTACACCTTGATGTAATCCCATTGGTATTGCCCATAATAATCCTAAGATATATGTTCCAACGATTAATCTCTTCATACATTTTTTTGTCATTATAACACATGGTATAAAACAAACTAACAACCAACGGTCCAAAGCAATTATAACCAAAAATAATGCAGAAACAGTTAAAGTGAATGATTTCAAAATCACATGTAGTCTACAAATAAAGTCATATGTTCTAGTTTCCCATACAATCAGAAAGATTGTTGTCGGTATATCAATAACACAGATAATCAAGTCATTTATTGCAAGAAGGACAATGAGAAGATCAGAATTGAGATCTGAGTGCATGGCAGTACGTTTTGTAAAAATAAATTTTTTCGTAGTTTCCCTATTTTTAGTACAATCATTTCCTGTTTCTATGGATTGGTGAATATTTAATGTTGAAGTATTATTGACACTTGTTAAACTATTGCCTTGATTTCTTAATTCATTATTACTGACAGAATTAGACGATTGACTAATTGGCACAACACTAGAAGTTCTTGACAAACATACATCAAGATAAGGATTCAATCGTTGTTGACAAACATCTTGCTGGTATTGAGAACGTTTTTGATTTTGTATAGGGTTTTCTGGTTGAGTTTTACATCTTGAACAGTTACAAACAATACGTAGACAGTTTTCTAATAATTTGAAGAATCTTCTAAATATATGACGACCAATTGTATGTACTACTAACCAATTACCAATTAATCCAAAAATACTTATGCATACAAGAAAACAACTAATAATAATTAATGTTGGAATATAGTTTTTTAAAACAAGTTTTTGAATATTTTCTTCTTCTTTAGCAATGAGACTATTTAAATTTGATGATTGCATCATAATAAATTAGAAAGGAAATCTTTTCTTTTCTGAGTTATCATTTATGAGAAAAAGTTAAATTTGTTTCCAAATATTCAGTAAATTAAATGATAATATATAATTTATTAGGAATGTAAGGGGAAATTTCAACCAATTAAATATATTTGTAATTTGATTCGTCAAACATAAATTATAATTTTTACTATTGGCGGTCATATTATTTAAAATACTATGGTATTTCACTTGGTATTGTTTGGCTTATATCTTCCCATTGAGGTTTAAGACTGCAATTGATCAGTCTGTTATTGGCATATGTGCATACTGTGCGTATGCCTCGATATTACCTTAATTCCATGGTATTTCATAAAATTATCTATTAAACTGTAATTCATTTAATGATCTAAAAAACTTAAAAAAATTAGTTACGTAATTTATTAATATCAATATCAATTTATTATTATTATTATTAATAATAAAATTACAAATCGTTTACAGTAACTATTCAGTGTAGATTTGGAGAAATGATTCATTTTGACGAAGAGTATGATGCATAATAATGAATACTTTGTTGATCAAAAGATCCAATTCATTTTTTCTAACAAGTTATTTTGTATTCCACTATCAATAACTTGATTTCATTTTATATTGTTTGTTTAAATCTTCATATTATTGTTTAACACTGCAATTGATCAATCTGTAATTGGCATATAATTAGCATTCTATGCAGATTGTCTCATTATTGCCTTAAGACACAAACATTACAGACAAAGATAGATGATGGCTAGCAGTGGAATCCAGGACGCGCGTTTCGTCCTTTAAGTAGCTGAGTGCATAATGCAATGGTGTTTGAAGCGAACAGTACTGGGTTTGAGTTCTAGAGTAAACATCAACTCTAGGATACAGTCATATCCATCTGATGAGTCCCGAATAGGACAAAAGGCGCATTCCGGATCCCACTGCTTGCCACCATCCATATTTGCTTATAATGGCTTGATTTATTACCACAAATTGTTATAGTAAGAAAATTTCAAGACTGATTGGGCGGTATGCAAATAAATTCCTCTTTAATTTATTTTCATATTGTTATTATCCAAAAAAACTACGATTATTCAATAGTCCAGTATCTGTTATTAATCCATAATAAGAAGTTTATTAACAATTTTTTTACTAAGAATGCCTTTTTCATCCATCAAATGCTGAACGGATGAATTCCAACATATTCATTTAACATTTCCAAAGTGTAACTAAGCTGGCGAATATTACCTGTAGTATTTTCATTTGAGATTTCCATTATTTAACATTTCGAAAGGGTGTAAGTCACTCTGGATACAGTGTGAGTATGCACAATAAGCATTCATAATTATTCGATACAAAGAGAAGAAAACAATTACAGCAATACTGGAATTTAAAAAAAGATGATCCGAACATTTTAATAGGCATTAAATTATAAAACATACAATAAACTGTCATGGCTGTACAAAGATTTTACTTTGAATGGAAAAAACACTGCTATTTTTAAAATGTAGTAAGGAAGACAAAGTCCATGGTAGATAATCATTTAAATCACCCTAAAAGAGCACAAATTTCCACCGATTACGACCAATTCTATACCTGTTTTTTGGTATTTTAATGAATTACTAGCGAATATCACATTTAAGCTAAATAAAGGGTAATATCTACATTAAACTTACAAATGATCACTATAAAACACAAATTTTACCGTAAACTGAAGTCAATTCATGCTAAATTAATAATGCGAATGCCAAATTGAATAAATCGTACACTATAATAAAGTGTACATTATACTGAACAAAATATCACACTGAATTAAAAAATAATCTCATGTTCCTTCTCCATCCCAATATTCACACAATATTTTTTTGGACTGAAGCAAATTGTTTAAAAAACAAACTACCTTTATTTCAAAGATGTATAGTTAAATATATGAACTAGTAGATTACGATTCAATGAACTGAACGTCCGATCTTCCATCCTTGATGTGGTAATGAAATCATACTATTAGAGAGTTTGAGAAAGTAGAACAAAATAACTATTGGTCATTTTTTAGTGTTCAGTGGTTTTTCAAGTGATGATGGTTTGTGATATAAACTGTCCCAGAAATAAATTATTTAGTTAACGATATTATTATTTATTAATGGATGACTACTTATCATCACTCCTTAGGATTGAAATCACTCGCTTATACAGAAAGATTGATAAAATATTCTTTTCGGGATGATAAATTACAAAATGCTACGATAATAATTTTGTCATTTAATCTTTCTTACTCAGTTTAATGTTATTGTGTTATGTTGTGCCAACATCCGATTCTTCAACTCATATACTAGCTTTTTGTATGTGAGACCAGTAAACTACTTGGATCAGAAAGCCAGAAATGAGAGAGAAGCCTTATTCCCTGAACTCAACAGAAGAATACATCCAAACTCACAAAGTACACATGTTTTCCCCTATAAAATAAAGTTACATTTTCAACCAAATACTTATGTCTCGTTCCTTAGAAAGGAAGGTAAATCTTGCCCGACAGCATATGCTTAACATTTGGCCTCTATCTGATTCACTCAGTATATCGAAGTACCACCTCAACCATATTTGATTAGTTTCATCCGACGTTATGTAACTATTTAAAAATATTCAGCTAACAATATATGAGCTACCAGTAAGAATAAAATGGTTATTAACACATAATACTATTCAATACCAAGAAGTATTTGACATCTCTTTATTCCTGTCAAGTTGAATAGATCTCAACAACAAGCATCTGTTACTTTACTGATTAATTATCACATAACTTGAAAATATTTTGTAAATTTGTGATAAAATAAAATATTCATCCAATGTTAACAACAAACTACTGTCTTATTTTCAATTTACTCAACTCACTCGACACATTTTCACTGAAATGTTGACTAGTTCACCTAGTGTTAATTCACGAATCATCACAACTTGTGATCTTAGACGTTTGAAACCCAGTTTAAATTCAGAGATACGATCTAATACAGAGCACAATACTGAAACGGAAATCTTAATAGATTTCAATCTTTTTGTAATCAGCATTAGTTTGTAATGAATGTTTTTGTCAAACTTTCGTCCTTGAATAAATCACCTCTATATATAAGAATCACGGATATTTTAAACTATTAAGTTTAATCAAATTCGGTTTTTTAACAATTAGAATGATACTGAATTAGAAAAAAACCTAGATTGATAGCCAGTTATATTTCTTTTAAACCGTGTTAAATAATAATTAATATATTTTTGTTATATCTCAGTCATTAGAAAAATTGTGTTTATGTCGTTTCGTGACTTTATGTAAGCCACTTCTTCAGAATAACTCAATAAACGGAATTAAATCAACACAAGTTTAAACAGTACAAATGAAACAATGCAAAGTATTTTTTAGCACAATCAAAATCATAATAAGTCTGAATATGTCAATGTCAGGTAATTTTTGATCAAATTCAATATGTATCGCCTGTCACTGTATTAATTCAAGTGTCATAATGTGGGTATGAAAAATGTACGCATTTGTGATATAAAGTAGTGGGTGTGTGTATAAAAATAATAAATAAGGTGAAATGTGGTTCTATAACCCGTACTCAAAATTTAAGATAAGTTTCAATATTTACAAGAATACTTTTGTCATAATCAAATTAAATTTATACATAAGAATTGATAAACTAATACACAAACCAGAATTTGTTTTAAAAAAGCCTCAACTGACTCATGATCTTAACCATTGAAATTAATATAATATCCACAAAACCCATCTGATATTAAAAATATATGTTAAGCAATTTACATATGTTTACTGATAGGTCATGAATTTGCCGTTGAAATCCTGAAATAATTTCGAAATGATTTCTGTTGATATTTTTAACTCCGCCTGTAGCTCTTCTAGAGTTACTGCCGGTCCCAAGCCCGGGTAAAGGAGGAGGGTTGGACATGGGGTTAGCGTCCCCATCCCGTAGAAAACTAACTCGCTAAAAAAACGCTTACCAAAAAAAATAATTCAAACCATTTAAACTCTGCCCTGGAAGTTAGGTCTTCATTTAGAAGAATTATGACGCTTCATGGTGAAAGCCGAGTTCCTTCAGAAGCCACGTGGCCGATGCCCATTCTAACAACCAGAGCAAACATTTTTGTAGGTACATGGAACGTTCGAACAATGTGGGAGACCGGGAAGACCAGTCAAATTGCAACGGAAATGAGGAGATACAATTTGACAGTACTGGGAATCAGCGAAACCCACTAGACCAAAGCTGGATAGAAAAGGCTAGCTACGGGAGAGATGCTGCTATACTCCGGTCACGAAAAGGAAAATGCTCCACACACTCAGGGAGTCGCTTCAATGCTGTTCTTTTGAAATTTATTAAAAAAAATAAGTTCTAATTGTCATTGTTAATCAATAATTGATTGGGAAATTTTGATGAGTTCTTTCTTGAACAATCAACTCCCAGTGATTTTAATTTCTTTCTAACGTGATCATTATTATTTGATCTACTTAATCTGTATGACACATTGTTGAATATAAAATTATTTTTATTGTTTGTTTCTATTCAAATTAGACTGACGAACATGTTATTTGGGAATAAAACTGCTTGATGGACATAATTTAACAACAGATGTTTGGTAATATTCGTCTATTGACGTTTAGAATACATGGTTGAATAATGTTATGGTTAAATGAAAACCATATATTAAAAAAAATTAAACGAACTATAACAATCTCAAGTAATTATTTAAAATTTGAAGATTATTGTATGATTACGAAGATAAAAATTACGGAATTAGTTGAACAACAATAACTTTGACTAAACGATAGTCATTATTACGGAATCATCTTAGTTAAGCAACCACTGAAAACCAAGAAATAATAGACATCTATTTTGTCCTAGTTTGGAATTCCTCAACATTGTACACCTACGATCCTACTAGAAGAGATCAAACACGGGGTTGTCGGTCTTATTGACAACTGGCCTCTCGATTTCTGACCTAGTATCCAGTTGTATATATATTTAGCTTCAATCATTTGCTTGTGGTGGATAACAATCA